CATTGGAATCTTGTAATTACGTAATTAATCATATTCTAAAATTATCATTCATTATTATATATTATATGTATATAGGTCGTTGTTTTTTAAGAACTCTTCTACAGAATAATAACATTTAGTGAGCAACAATGCCAAAACAGATTTCTTAAATGACAATAATCTTTTACGCTTTAAATTATCAGGTAATTTATTATAAATTCTTATCGACATTGCAGAAGCATATCTTTTTGTAACTTTTAGAGGATTTGCTGGTGCATATAACCTATTCTTGTATCTACCCTTACTTTCACTCACTTCACACTTACGTTGAAATAAATGTGGATGCTTATGAATAAAACATGCACATTTCAAATATGTTTAATGAAGGCAAAGACAGGATCTTTTTAGTTTTGAACAAAGGTTTGCAACTCACTAAATGACCAACACCACAAAGAGCTCTTATGCAGCGTTTGTGTGCTTTAAATGCTTTATCCGAATCTACCGAATACCCCCTAGGAGCAACTTAAACTTAAGCGACTCCAAAATCAATATGGAGATATGGAGAAGTAATATGGCGATTTCTCCGAATACCGCACTATACTCAAGTGGCTCTCAATACGTTTTCGTTGAAATAGTCATATTTTTTCTGCTCTCTACTGCGCCTTACTTAATACAGTAAGTCCTCCCTATCTAAGAGAATGTTTTAAATTGCTCGACTCCTGTCATAATTATTCCATTAAAAAAATATTTTTACTAATCGGTAACTCTTTTCTCAATTTCTTTTAATATTAATCCATTATTCGTATAAATAAAAAAAAATATAACTACCATAATGTTGAAATTTTCTTCATCGAATGGTGAAATTATTATTTTTGTAATCTGTCTAAGGACCGATTGAAACCCAAATTATAATTCAAAATTAAATAATAATGATTTATTGAAGTTTCAACTTAGTTAGTTGATTCACAATTTCAAGTGAGTGATAAAGATGGGTGTCGTTTTCAATAATGCTATAAAACTAAAATAATAGAACCAATTTAACAGCTGGTTGAATAGATTGAATGGAAAGGAAAAGGGTTGACGAAACGACCTCAATCGCGTTGAAGCAATTATATTTTTAATGACGAATAAGACCAAAAGCTACGATCGATAACAAATGGAAAAAGTAATAAAGTAACATTTTAAATTAAAATTTATGAAATGAAAGGGATACTTGGGAGAAATTTATTAGATATAATTAACGAAATATACATTATGTTTTCGTTAGTGTTACTTACTTACTTACTTATCTTCACGCACAATCCCTGACGGGGTAGCCAGAGAGAACAGATCGCCAAGTGTCACGATCCTTGTTACAGCTTATAAAAAGTTCAATGCTGAACATAGGCCTTCGCCGTTGATTGATATGGGGGATATTTGCCATGCTTGGCAGGCGGGTTGGCAACCGCAGTTTATTTTTATTTTTAGTTGTTATTCGGAAGACGCTGCTGTCCATCACCTAGTTCAGTTCCTCTGTTGTCTCTTACGACAACCAAGGGACGATTTGAGGTAGTGGATATTTTTAGACTTATACGATAAATGTTATTTTAATTGGATAAGGGTGACAAACTAGGTACTAGGTTATTTTTAACGAGCAGCCAAATTTTAAACTTAATTTAAAATATATTAATAATGATATACCGTTATTACAGTTTTTGAAAATAGTATAATGAAATATTTCATATAATTAAATTAATGCTTAGCAAGTCGTGCAAGAGTCTTTATAAAACAACTAGGTGGCCAGGCAGACGTTGTTCTGTCCTCTCCGACGACCCTGTGTCCTATAAAAATTCTTAATAAAAAATATTGAGGGTCATTAATAGGGATAAAAACTATCCTATCTCTCAAGTTGGACCAAACTGCATACAGTGTGCAATATTTAATTGCAATCTGTTTAGTAGTTTAGGAGTTCATCGCGGACAAACAATGTGACACGTAATTTTTATATATAAAGAATTGCGTAGCCTTCTAAGAAAATTACAGATCCTAATCATTAGGATGACTGACTCTCATAATGAGACTTGTCAGCTCTTTAAATTTCCTTTGAATAGTCCTCTTACCATAAATTTAAATTGATAGTTGTACTATAGTGAGATTTGCGATCAGCTTTTACAATTGGTGTGTATTAGTTGATGCGGTTAGCAAAATACAAAAACACTGTCGATGAACCTAAATATATTTATTTATTTATTTTATAGAACCTGTACCTAAATTAATATATAAACCCTTGTTCCTTTAGTATAATTATGGTAAATATAAGCCTTATTATTATTACTGGAATTGCCAGCCGTTATATTTATAATAAGTATAAATAAAATTATGGCCATTACCATATGCGTTATAAGCTTAATGCGACAATTACGGATTTTTAAAAATAAATATCCCAAGTAAGCTTTATTTAGGTAGTGGAATTATTAGTGGGAATATTGGATGAGTGTATAAATTTATAGCCTATATAGGTCTCACTGCTGGGCACAGGCGTCCCCTTATTTTTGAGAGGGTTTTAGGGCAAGGAAATGTTCGCCGCGATGCGTGTTCGCGAACTTCACATGTCTTCAAAACTTTTTTGTCTTATTTCTCAGACATGAAGGTTTCCTCAAGATGTTTTTCCTTCACCGCCGTGCACGTGGTAGATCAGCACTTAAAATTGCAATTAACAATTTCATTGGTGCCGGCGGGGATCGAATTTGTGGGTTGCTTGCATTGTATTAGGATATTAATAATGGAATGAAAGATCAACACGTTTGTTCAACTCGAGTGTTTATTTAATACTGCTTACTTTCTAATACATCGAATATCACCTACAAGTACATAGGTTACTTCACCTATGGGGGCAAAGGAAAAAAAAAGAAAAAAAATAATATTCTTAACTACTAAATTTCTTAGTCCTATTCTTATGAACAATGTCAATTTTACCATTTATATCAATTTTCACATTTACTCCTAAATCTTCTACAACTTTATAAGGTCCATCAAAAACACAATCTAATTTACGAGCACATTCATTTTTAAGTAAAACAAGATCATTCTTATTATAAAATACAGGATTACATGATTTATCATATTTATCTTTCCTTTTTTCCTTACAAGTTATCAAATAATTTCTAGCATCTCTTAAGGCTACTTGCAATTTATATTTTTAATCTAAACAATAATTATCAGGATTATAAAGTGGTTCAACATCATAATTCAAATTATTTGGCAAACGACATTGTCTACCAAAAACAAGTTCAAAAGGAGTGTACTTAGTTTGAATGTTCACACAATTATTATAACTAAAACACCAAAATGGAACCCATGACCATGAATAATTCGAATTAGTACAATAAGTTCTTAGAAACGCACCTAAATGTTTATGAGCTATCTCAAGAAAACCGATTGATTGGTGGTGGTATGCAGTTGACGATAACTTATCGATTTCTAATAACTTACATACCTGTTCCATAACCTGAGACATGAATTCTGTCCCCCTATCTGTAGCTATACATTTCGGAATACCGAATCTTAAAATAAAGTTACTTACAAAAGCTTCTGCAACTGTAACAGCTTCTTTATTAGGCAATGGATACGCCTCTATATATTTTGTTAACTCGCATTGGAGAGTTAAAATATAACAATTTCCATTCTCATCCCTATCTAATGGTCCAACTAAATCGATGAAAACCTTCTCGAACGCAGTCGACGCAGTGGAGGTTAAGGTCATAGGTTGTTTGGTATATTTACCTTGTTTCATTTTCTGACATAATGCGCATTTACTTATATATTTACGGATATCCGAATCTAGTCCTGTCCAATAGTATTTTCTCCTAATATTATTCGTCATTCTAGTTATTCGAGCATGTCCACTAGTGGGTAATAAATTATAGTCATTTAAAATAAATTGTTTCTCGTTTTCATCATAAATTCTCTCTATTCCTTTCAGTACACATATTCGGGGTCCGGACCATTCACTCAAAGATTTAACTTCACTACATATTCTTTTTATAAACTCAGTATTCTTTTCATCTTTTACTCTATATAATTATTTTACTTTTATTTTTTCGCAAAACTCTTTAAGTTTAATTGCAAATTCGGCTCGCGAGAAATGCTACTTAAAACCTAAATTAACACACAATAACATTTTATTTGGTACATACATAAAACATTCTTCTTCTATCACTTTATTATTTCCTTTCTTAAATTTTTCTATTACTTCCATGTCAGTCAACCTCAATTCTACGGAATCACATGGCTGTCTTAATAGTTCCACGACGCGTGGATGATCAGACCACTCATCAGGGTACTTCTTAAGCGCAGTCTGTTCTACCGTACTATTCTGCTCCATCCTTTTCTTTTGTTGTCTCGTTACAACTGCCAAAACCTACTCATTCATACATTTCAATTCACTTGATGTTATACACACTCTGGATAATGCATCTGCGATTACATTATTCTTACCCTTCACATACACAATCTTAAAATCGTACTCTTCAAGAATTAAACGATATTTAATTAACCTACTAGATGGATCCTTTATTCCAAATAAATAAATCAAAGGTTTGTGGTCAGACATGATAGTAAAAGTTCTGCCAAATAAATAGGGTCTAAAATATTTAACTGCCCACACTATTGCTGTTAATTCTTTTTCTATAACGGGATAGTTCTTTTCAGCTTTATTTAATGGTCAACTAGCATAAGTTATAGGTTTTCTATTTTTATTACACAGCACAGCTCCTACAGCCAAGTCTGAGGCGTCTGTTTGCAGTACAAATTCATTAGATTCACCAAAGTCTGGGTATTCTAATATTGGTGGAGAAATTAAAGCATTTTTTAAGAAATTAAATGCATTTTGGCAATCTGAATTCCAAATGAAAGGTACATCCCTTTTTAGTAACTTATTTAAAGGCATTTTTATGGTAGCAAATGAAGGTACAAATTTTCTATAGTAATTGCAAAAAGCAACAAAGCGTCTTACTTCATCGGCATTCTGAGAAACTGGAAACTTATCTAGCTTTAGTTTTTTCTGGGTCAGGTGCTATACCATCAGCGGCTACTACATGACCAAGATATAAAATTTTCTTTTTTAGAAATTGACACTTAGCGGGATTTAGTTTTAAATTTACCTTCCTCAATCTTTCAAAAACGTCTATCAAATGTTGGTTATGAGTAGCTAAAGACCTTCCAAACGTAATAAGGTCATCTAAATAAATGAAATACTTCTCAAACGCTAGTCCTGACATTGCTATTGACATGACCCTACTGAAAGCACTACAGGAAGTTTTAAGACCCACCGGTAAACGTTTTAATTGGTAATGTCCTGTACTAGTTGAAAAAGCTGTGTATTTTCTGCTTTCAGGTGCTAATTTTACTTGGTAGTATCCTTGTTGTAAATCTCGATGAGTAAAGTAAATTAAACCAGATAGTGAGTCTAAGATGTCTGTTATGTTGGGTAACGGAAATTTATCATCTACAATGTTTTCATTTAATTTACGGAAATCGATTACTAAACGCCATTTCTGTGAGCTTTCATACTTTTTAGGTACTAATAGTATAGGACTTGACCATTCGCTAGAAGATTCCTCGATAATGTCGTCATCGAGCATCTTTGTTATTTGTTTATTTACTTCAGTTTTTAATGCATGTGGTAATCTATATTGTTTTGTATATATTGGATTAGTTTTATTTTTTAATGTAATGGTATGTTCGCAAATATTAGTGGTTTCTAATTTGTCACCTGGTAAGATGAAAATATCAGAATATTTAGAACAAATGGTTTCAGTGGATTCTTTTTCTTCATTGTTTAAATGATTATGTTCTAATAAAGGTAATAAAGATTTAGCCCTATTGGAGCTACTTTTACATTGAACAAATTTAAAAATGTTATATTCTCTCAAAGGTTCCACATCTAAAGTAAAATTGTTTAATCTTATTTCCTCATCTCTAGTATTTAAAATCTTAATTGGAACGCGTTTATTTTTCGGTTGAACAATAGTTCCTGCCAAAAATACATCCTTTTCTATCTCTATCGCGCACACAAAATAATCCTCTTCCACTTCCTTATTCAAATACACATAATGTATAGACTCACTTCGAGGTGCGAGTACTAACGAGTTGCTATAATCAGGTTTATCGAAAATCGGTAAAATACAATGCTTACCATCAATTTGCAGCGTCAGCAAATTATTTTCTAAATCTATTTTAGCCTTATATCTAGTCATAAAATCTAACCCTAATATTCCATCAACGGCGATAGGTAAATTCTTGAAACTATAAAACTAGCTCGTAAATTTATCATATTTAGAACTGTAAATGTCTAAAATAACATAACTTGAAGCTTCGATTTTTCAACCGATTCCATTTACTACTAAGTTATTGTAAAATATTTCACTCGACTTAGGAATTTGTTCTTCCTTAATTACCGAAATAGATGCACCGGTATCTACCAGTAGTATAATCTTCCTATTCTTAACATAAAAATTTACGAATTTAGTGTTACCTATACAAGCAAAAACTAAGTTATTAAGTCCGAAAAAACTGGTTACTCTCTCTCTCTCATCAGCTGGGTGTTCTACGTTATCAGCAGTTCGTACTGGCCTATCATTTTGTAACGCTAATATTCTATTGTTAAAATTACCTTTCTTGTTGTTGTATCTCCTTCTGTTGTTGTAGAACATGTTTTGTCCTCTAGCTTGCGGCGTATACTGGAATCTATTACCTTGATATCTATTAAAATTGTTATTATTATTTTGGAAGTTAGTACCTCTGTTGTTGTAATTGTTGTGGTAATTTGTCTGGAACCCTCGACCTCTGGTTTGGAATCTAAAAGAACGATTATTGTATCTACCTCGACCTCTAGGAAAAGATGAAATTTTCATTACCTCTGCCTGAGTAGATGACGATGGAGTGGATTCATCCTTGGCCGCTTGAATGGCTTCTTTTAGCGATGCGTAATTTCTAGTAGCTATAATCGTACTTAACTTTTCTTAATTACCATTTTTTCATTAATTGGTTTCAGAACTGTACTTTTAGTAACGTCACCCTCAGCCTGTGAAATATTCAAATCGGTTAATAGTTTTTCAAGTTGAGATCCGTATTGTTCAATAGTCCTATAGCCCTGATTCAGAGACTGTATCTGATTATGTATTGCAGTGAAAGATTTTTTTGTCAATAACTTATTACGAAAATCTTGAATCATTCAGCCTACTGAAGTATAAAAATTGGATACGCGCAACTTAGCATTTTCTGATAGCCTGCCCTTGAGAACAAATTTAATTAAAAGTTGCTGGCCTTCACTTCACTACTAAGCATGTCTGCATACATTTCCACAGCTTCAATCAATCGTTTCGTAGTATCTTCCCTATCATCTAAAAGAGGTATCAAGCTGCAAGCAGTTTTCAAATCAAAATCCATCTTTTCTGATTTCATCTCTAAGCTGGGTGAAACACACAATTTCGCTATTTCTGCAAATAAAGAACAAATTTTGTCATATGTTTCAGTAATTAAAGATATTTCCGACTTATCCTTAATATTACTTAATGTAGAAAATATATCTTTACTATTATTTAAATATATCTCGACTTCATTCAACTTATTTAACGCAATAGAACCTTTATACCTACTTTGTCCATTTTTAATCAAATATTTCCTTATTTCTGACAATACTCATAATCTATTATTATTTTCTCAGCCATAATACCATTAATTTCATATAGAAGCTAAAGTTAACTTGCACTCGGTTCATATTTCATTCAATTGACTTTAATTTTGTTCTAAAACGAAGCACAGTCATACAGTGTACCGATTACAAATGCTGAATTGCATCTTGACCGATCGCAGCAGTCGGAATTCCTAGAACTAACACATTTTTTAAACTATTTTAAATGTTATAGAGAAACAAAATTAAACATGCTACCTAAATTTAACATAATTTTCGAAAAGAAGTTTATAAAATTACCAATGTCACTATAATTGTCACGTAAAAAAAAAGGTTTGACTCACTCTCGTAAAAACTAAACGGAAATGCACTTTTTAGGAACTGCACTAATATAAAACACACCACGGTTTCACGCTGCTTGTCTGCTCACGCGCAAAGTTCAAAAACAGTCGTCGTCATGTGGATATACGGCATAGGGGCACTCGGAGAAGTCAAGGATCGCCCACTTATGTCCACGATCCAGTACAGGGTTAGGCCGGTTACGTAGATATACGGTGTAGAGGCACTCGGAGAAAGTAAGGCAACACAAATTTACACATCTTCTTCATTGCGCGGTTCACGTCTGTTAGACAGTCTAGTGCGCATTCTTCTTAAAAATTCCGCATTAATTTTCTTTTCTACCCATTTCTTATGTTTTTCTTTCAGCTTCAAAAATATGATAACAAACAGGACGATTGATGCCAAAATTAAAAATGTTGTGATCAATATATTGTTAATCTTTATATGATAATGCTTTTCTTCTATTTCCACAGTATTGGTTCCTCCAGTTTGGGCAATCGTCGTTTCATGTTCTTCATTTTTCGAATTACTATTCCCAATTTTGTTTTTTGGCACGAACACGCGCATACACAGTCACAAAGTTAATAATTATATTCTTATTCATTATTATTACGTAGTTGTATTCACTGCCGAGGCACACAGGAATGTGCAAAGTCCGCACTTTTAGCCTGCAACCGGACACGCGCGCTTGACATGGGTCGCCATGAATTAGGATATTAATAATGGAATGAAAGATCAACACGTTTATTCAACTCGAGTGTTTATTTAATACTGCTTACTTTCTAATACATCGAATATCACCTACAAGTACATAGGTTACTTCAGCATACTGTCACTGTCAGTCTTGTTATGAGCACCTTCTAGGCTGGACGTGTGCCGCATTATTGTCCGATTAGAGTAACTTAACTAATTAATTTTGCATGTGTTCTGTAATTGTGCATTGTGGATGAAATTCGCTTGTGACCCTATCGTGTGTGACTTGTGAGAGGACCGGTCCTCCGCCCCTGTCTCTGCTCTTTCGGAAGTTTTCGACAGTCTTCGTCATATACATTGTACGAAGCATACTTTTCATTCACACCTTTAGCGTCTGCTCCATACTCCTCACTTGGATTTGCTACCTACCTCCTTTCTCGTTACATCCGATAATATGAGCGTACAAAGGAGTCCAACCAAAACCAACTCACAACCGGATTTATCGAAGATAGGCGATGGTGACTTCCTAAATATAACTGAAGAAAGAGAAAAACGCACGACTGTCACTGCAACCAACAGCAACTCATGGATGATTTTTGTAATAGAATGATGACCACGCTCACAGCAAAGCTGGATTCTCAAAACAATACCATTAAGGGTGTTTTGAACGGCATTCGCGAGGACATCAATTCATTTAAGAAAGAGATAAGTGATGAAAACTCTTCAATAAAAAAATTAGCTGACGAACAAGCTATAGTTTTTTTTTTTTTTTTTTATAGGAGAGGGGGCAAACGAGCATGCGGTTCACCTGATGGTAAGTGACTACCGCCGCCCATGAACAACTGCAACACCAGGGGAATCGCAGATGCGTTGCCGGCCTTTTAAAAAGGAGTAGGCTCTTTTCTTGAAGGTCCCTAAGTCGAAAAAAGATGTTTGCGAGTTGAGTTCTGCAACAGGTTTAATTACCCAGCGTGTTGATCTAGTTTCTAACGAGATTTCTGAGTTGCTAATAATTAATATTAATAACATGGAAATTTTTGGGATACCACTTTTGAAAAGTGAAAATTTAAATAATATTATATATAACATCGCTACAAAGTCTGTTTTACGTTATTGCCAACAGATATTGATTACATTCACCGTGTCCGACGTTTTAACTCGACAAAGAACAACATCCCTACCATACACGATGACAGTACCTCTCTACACTCATCTTCCATACCGAACATCATCATCAGAATATCACAAAGATATCGCAAGAATGAATTTTTGGCTGCCGTGCGCGCGCCATGTGGATTAACAACTGCTGACGCGGGCCTAAACAGGCCCACCAGTCCTGTCTACTTCAATGAACACCTCGCGCCACACAACAAACAATTATACAAGCAAACCCGCCTTCTTGCCAAACAGAAAGAATACAAACACGTGTGGTTGTCTGACTGTAAGATTTTATTGTGTAAAAATGATACGTCTAAAGTTCAACTTATATCATGTTATGCGGATCGTAGTAAAATTAAATGACTGTATGTCGTTACCTATTTTAATGTTTTGAAAGAATTTTTTTTTGTTACAAATACTTACATATTAAAACAACATTACCTGTTAAAAAGTGATATAGAATAAATTTCTCACGTAACCTTAAATACTGTTATTGGTGTTTTAATGTTAGTGGAACCCATAATATTTTATTCTCTGATATTACTGTACAGAATATACCGCATATTCTGTACAGTGGTTTATAACAATAACTTGTCTATTTACTACCAAAACGTGAGGGGCTTACGCACAAAATAGCATGATTTTCTGAAGAATGTTCTGTGTAGCAATTATGATGTGTTAAGTGTCACGAAATCATGGCTTAATACTAATTTCTATGACAGTGAATACTTTGACAGTCGATACGAGGTGTACCGGTGTGATCGCAACGTTACGGTTAGTGGTCGCGGGATGGGTGGTGGCGTACTGATCGCAGAGCGACGCGACCTATGCCCGTCGCTGCTCCATCACGAGTGCCCGCCGCAGGCAGATGAGATTTGGTTATATTATATCCCATTAATTGAAACATTGTCGGATGCGGGCTGTGTGACGTCATCGCAGGAGACTTACACTACTCGATCGCAGGCTAAGTGCCGCTTACATATTATAGCAACTAATATACCGCACGGTTGTAACCACAAATCACAATTGACATCGTTCTATACCAGAGTAAGCGATTTTATAATCTCAAATCCCGACGATACTTATCTAAATACTGGGCGATTTCAACGTCAATTATTCTGACTGGTATTTTAATTATTCTACTGATTGATTTCTTATATTTACGCGAACACTACACATTTTTAAATAAAACTAATTTTACGGATTTTATCGCGTATATTAATCTATTTTTTCAGAGTATAATTTCAAAATACAACAACTTTTATCGGACGTAAGTACATACAAAAAGGTCAAAATAGACCCTACAACTAATACACTTAAAACAACTACTGATTTAATAAAGAAATACTCCGAAAAATTAGATCTCGACGTGAA